GTGACAGCATAGATAATTGAATAGCAGACAGGGAGATAATCGAGTCAAGCCGTAAGTAAAGTGTGTAAATCGTTGTGAATTATAGCGTGTGTGTAAATTAAAGTGACTGTGGAAATTCTTTGTATTGCAAAGTTGTATTGAGGAAGAATAAACTAGTTTTATTTAAGAAAGGGCTTGTATCGCTGAAGTTCCTCGGGAAGAATTTTTACGGGAAATTATCAAACGAACAGAAACGTAACAATAGCAATTGGAACACACCACAATACATCAGCAAATGCCCCACAAAGATTTGTCGTAAGTGTTTTCATTACATTTTCTCTTTCTTCCTATATGCAATTTCTTCAGCATGCCTTCTGCCACTAAGAAGCCACGTCTTCATGCATTCTTCAGGGTTGAATTTCAAAAAAAGAGGTTCCAATAACTTGATAGAGAGCTGAGTTGAAAGATGATCAATTTGAAGTCGCCCACCTTGTGGTGACATACATAAATTAATCCTACTGAAACGTTGTTCACAATTGACTTTCAAATTGGAATCATTCATCATATATCTAAACGTTCATTTCTGTATTCAGCAACTATGGGTATGGCATACCCCACATTTCCATTACTGTTCCAATCTTGCAACAAAACACAAAAACTCACATCACCACGTGATTGGTCATTTTCTAACAGAATTCACCAGCTGTAACATATATATATATATTGTTACGCCTCCAGTCGTTAGTTAATTTTCCGTAAATTCGTTCCGACGAAACTTTAGCGACACAAGTCCTTTCTTAAATAAAACTGGTTTATTCTTTCCGAATACAGCTTTACGATACACTTAACTTCAACATTCGCTCTATAACAACGCTATGTCTCACGTGGCCAACAATATTTTGTCCGCATACATTCAATTACTCATTACCTCTGTTCCGTCACGTTGTGAGCGTCTTATATATACCAGTCTACCCCCAATCTAGTAATCTCCCGACAATTCACGAAGGTTCGAGAAGGGGTGGCGTGATACTAGTCACGTGACCTCGCTGACGCAACAATATTTATCTTCCACTTGGCCATAAAAGAACATTACAGCCCTTGAGCTTTTCAAATGGATGTGCAACAATACTCTGCAATATGTGGGCGTATCATGATTTTTCTACTTTCTATAGTAATTTAGGTATCTTCACCATTTTTGACTATTTAGTTTCCACACTGTCATGGTGACAGAAACTTTCTTCTATTGCTTTGTTCTAGATATTTCGTTTTTTGTCTCTCTAGTACGTGACGTTTTCCCTGCCTATATGAATATCTAAGCATTAGATAAAGCATCCCAGTTGAATGGGTTAAAACCGGAATATTCTTTGCTGGCTAATTATGTCATTGACTGAAAGTGACAGCTAACAATGCTGTCAGGGAACAGAGTTCATGAGGATATTCTGTTCACTGGAAAAAGTAAGTAAGTTAACATTCTAAATTCCAGCACACTTCCTCAGTTCAATTTTCCATAAGCTAACCTACAGAAAGGACTTGCTTTCTTTTTGGAGGACCATCAAGTTTAGTTTTGGAGCATTAAATCCTGATAGAAAAAAGGCAGCAAGGCACGCACCTTGCTTTTGTTTTCTTTTTTGTCTAAAGAAATATTATGTTTGTTTGTTCAAAACATGTCCAGCTTAGTTATTTATATACAAAAACAAATCGTAGTTTAAATGTCTCTAGTACAGAAACACTTGTAAATATCCTGAGCAAATTTGATCATTATTGTGGAATGATCTATCTGACATTTGTTGGGAAATTAGCACCATTTATAAATACCAAAAGTAGACAGAAAGAGAAAAGTGTGATGCCGTGACACAAGGATTTCTTTTTTTTTTCTATAATGAGGTAAAGCCAACTTGATTACTTGTAAATTAAGTTTAAAGTAACATTTACATGGAGAGAATGGCTTTTTGAGAGAATGAAGGTATTCGCTTCAAAAATGAAAATCCATTCACAGAGATAGCTGGTTTAAGTGGGAGAGGTGTCAAGACTAAAGTATGTCCCCTCATGGACATAGGACTTTCACCAATTCTCTGAAGGTCAATAACATCAGTCAGCCTGCAACCACTGACTTAGAAAGATCTGCTTCTGTCTGGTGCATCCAGGCTATGCAAGCAGGTAGTTTTTGTTTGTACACGAGGGCTATCTGCGCTAGCAGTCCCTAATTTAGCAGTGTAAGACTAGAGGGAAGGCAGCTAGTCATTCCCACCCACCGCCAACTCTTGGGCTACTCTTTTACTAACGAATAGTGGGATTGACCGTCACTTATAACGCCCCCACGGCTGAAAAAGCGAGCATGTTTGGTGGGATGGGGATTCAAACCCACGACCCTCAGATTGGGAATCGAGCACCCTAACCATCTGGCCATGCTGGGACACAAGCAGGTAGTACCCTGTGGATTGATCTCAGCAACAGGGAAGTACAAACAACAGAGGCCTGCCAGAATGGTGGGGCACCTTAAAAGTTCGAAACTGCATGGAGATGTCTCTAAAGACCTTCCCATGTGTTGTCAATCAGAGCACGACAGCCCCAACTGTAATCAAAACCACTGACAACAAACAGACAGAGGCTGAATGTATTAATGACAGAGGAATTCCACCAGCTAGAGTTGTTTTCCTTGTAGGTGATACAACAGGTACCCATGATTGAAGACC